GGTACATGGCACTTGACTGTGGATAAGTGTTGGCCCTGCATTTCAGGACCACTTGCTGATAATGCCCTAAGGGACGATCTCACAGCAAGCTGAAAGCAGGAGTTGATGTTCATAGTGTAACAGAGAGTGAAGGGAAGCCTCTGGAAAGCTACCTGTGGCATTACTCAATTCCTCTTTTCTTGCTTGGCGAGAACAGGCCTCTAACCCGTACTTGCCCACAAGAGGAGGGAGCACTGTGGCCTCGGGGGGCCGATTCCGTTGCCCATCCTGCAGACACGAAGTGGTTTTGGACAGACATGGGATCTACGGGCTTCAGAGGAACCTGCTGGTGGAAAATATCATTGACATCTACAAGCAGGAGTCCACCAGGTAGGGAATCTCCTGTGTGTCAGACACATCTGAAGCTTGTCTTCATTATTTGTTTGTTTGTTTTAGTGGGTCGCTATACTGAATGCTTGTTTACCAATCAGGGGCTAATTGTTTTATAGGAAAATGTTTTTCCAAGTCAGTCCTTCCCAATGGGAGTGAGAGTGGCTCTTGGGAGGAGAGAAGGAAGCTGGGGCCCATGCTTTTGTATCAATTTCAGAATGAAGTAACTCATTAACACTAATCCAGTCCAGATGGTGATATTGAAAGAGGCATAATGCTGCCCTACCCCCAGCCTTGTATTACATCCCTTGTAGACGTTTCTGCACTACACAGCTTCTTTATAGCTCCAGATTCTACACAGCAGAAAAATTAGAGTGCAAAACTACAGAAAATGAACAGAAATGGCATCTCCCCAAATCGGCCTGTGCTTAGTTCAGACAGTCTCATTTAAACATTATCTAGAGGATAATAATAAAAACAAAATCCTCTGACATAGTCAGTCATGGTAGTGACTCTGGGAATTAGCAAAGCAAGGTAGACTCCTGGGATTTAGCAACTTAGAGTTTAGAGACAGGGGAGGAAAAAAAAGGATGGAGCTCAGGTTATGTTTCCCTGTTCTCTAGGTTATTCTTCCGGAATACTTCCGGCATTCACCTGCTGATTGACACGCAGCATATACATCAGTCATTTTTTATTTTTTTGAAAAGGGCTTCTTATTCATCGAATCACACTGGCTGTAGAATTCCTTTCCTAGAGACAACACAGGGGGAGTTCATTCCTAGAAGTGCTGGTGTTGAGGAGCCCTTTTTCAACTGTACACAAGGCAGTCAAGTCCATAGCGCTTGACAGCAATACTGAGACCATCTAGAAATGATCTCACTGTGCTTCCTAGTAGGAGACACGGATTCACGGAACATCTGCAGGGCTCGAAGAGCCTTGTGCTCTTAGAAGGAAAGCTGTTCTATAAATCGAACATATAATTATTATAATTGCTGTGGCTATTCATTTCTGCTTAAGATTCAAAACTAAATTAGATAGTGCCAGGATATAGATGGCGCTGGGAAGAATTGCTGATGACGTATTGCGGAGATACAGAGTGGGCTATTTCCCTCGCTTCCAAAATCTCTTGAGAAGAAGGAAAGTACCACTGTTGTAATTAAGATCTGATCTCATTTTATCTCATTGTTTTAAGATGCAAATAGATACACTGTCTCTTAAAAAAGTTAACCAGCCAATTAATAACCAACTAATTATTAAGGCTGTTTATATAACAACTGATTCAGTGCCTGCGACAGTGCCTTGCACAGAACAGTTGCTCCGTAAGTACCAGATGTTTAAGCAACACCATAAATCTTCTTACACGTTCTATTTATTGCAATAATGTTCTGTTTTGCTACTTGCCACAGTGAGAGCTTGAATGATGTGAAATAATAACAATAATTGTTATGTAATCCCGAGAAGAGGAGATGTTAAAATCTGTAGCGTAACACTACCTGACACATCCTGGTTTTAAAGTCTATGCAATGCATCTGCCAAAACTAGTGCCTAGGTGAACAAATTAAAAGCAATGAACCAATCTCTAACAATGAAGCTCACAGCTGAGTAGCCTAGTGGTGTTCTTGTGATTATCAAATTCTTCTTATGCTGCTGTTTCTTGAACCTGAGACTTGCCTATGGGACATTTTTAATTGGTAGCAAAACCACAAATTGTACAGAGAGCTCGGGCACACGTTTGGACATAAACCCAGTTGTTCCCTTAGGGCTGGCAGATTTACCAGCCCAGAATCCTAAGCCTCAGGGTATGTGAGGTGACTCTGGAATAACTTTGAAATACAGAGTGAGATGAACCCTGGCCCACATTAAGGTGGAAGCAGAAAGGGCAGGGGCTGGTCAACTCTGGCCTCCCGCAGAATGGCTAGAGATTGTAGGTCTCAATAAAACCTGGCCTTCTTATCTAGAATTCTGCCTGGTGCTGAGCTAGCCAGAGCTTGCGGGGGGGTTGGGGGGGGCAATGCGAGAAGGAACTAATTTCACTAATATTAATAATGAACACAACGGGACTTCCCTGGTGGTCCAGTGGCTAGGGCTCTGCGCTTCCACTGCAGGGTGCACGGGTTCAATCCCTGGTCGGGGAGCTAAGATTCCACATGTCCCATGGCCAAAAAAAAAAAAAAAGAACATAAAAATTAACTTTAAAATACAGCAAGTCAAACCAATATGTGTTGAATATGCATCAGCCACTGTTGAGGGTGTTATACACATGAATCATGTGTAATTCTTTAATTCTCACGAGTATTTTAAATATTTTATTCAAAGTAATTCCTATGCATATGCATAATTTTAAACATTCCAATCACACTACAAGGCCTCGAAAGAGAGCTGCATTCCCGGCCCTACTCTCTCTTTGCCCCCAAGTCTCACTCCCCAGAGTCAGCCACATTTAATTCTTTCAGCTGTTCTTCTGCCATTTATCACCCAGTGATGTGCGTATGCTACTAGCAGGCTCCTATTCTTTGGTTTTTCAGTTTTAGACATTATCTATTGACTTCACTGTAGACAATTAGGGCTGAGCCCCCAGGTGGTTGGCTTTACCTTCTACTTTTCTTTTACTCTCCCCTGGGTTGAAGCCCTTGTTTCCTGGATCCTTTGTCGTCCTCTTCGTTGGTTTACTCTACTGTTTTTGTGGAGCACATCCTCAAGTAATCCCCTAAAGTGTGCAAAAAGTCTTCCTCTTTCCAGTCCCGCCCCCACCCCACCCCGCCCTGCACTCCTACCTTCTGGGTGCCTGGCCTCTGCAGTCCCAGAGCCTTTTCAGGGGGAGCCTGTAAAGCTTGAGCAGCTTGTCCTGTGCGCCTTTACCCTGCAGGCTCTCAGCAGAACCAAGATGCATTTCAAGCAGGTCACTTCCCTTCGTCCAGCTGTTCCCAGTTTCCAACATTTGGTTGCATCTCTCCTCTGCTGTTATTTTGCTCATTTTTTGTCCTTATTGATGTATACCTTTTTATTCCCTTCCTCTCATTTTAGTGGGATTTCAGCAGCAAACATAAATAAATAAATGCATGCGTTCATTCTGTCATATTTAATTAGAAGACTCCTAGTCCAATTTTCAGATATGAGTAAAAGCTGAGCCTGAAAGAGTTGAAGGAACTCGCTTAAGGCCATACAGCCACCACTTGGAGAAACTGAGTTGGGATTAAACTTTGAGATCAGTTTGACTGTAAAAGTACTGCCTGAACACGGAAGCAACCTAAGTGTCCATTGACAGATGAATGGATAAAGAAGATGTGGCACATATATACAATGGAATATTACTCAGCCATAAAAAGAAACAAAATTGAGTTATTTGGAGTGAGGTGGATGGACCTAGAGTCTGTCATACAGAGTGAAGTAAGTCAGAAAGAGAAAAACAAATACCGTATGCTAACACATATATATGGAATCTAAAAAAAAAAAAAAATGGCTCTGAAGAACCTAGGGGCAGGACAGGAATAAAGATGCAGACGTAGAGAATGGACTTGAGGACACAGGGAGGGGGAAGGGTAAGCTGGGACGAAGTGAGAGAGTGGCATGGACATATATACACTATTAAATGTAAAATAGATAGCTAGTGGGAAGCAGCCGCATAGCACAGGGAGATCAGCTCGGTGGTTTGTGACCACCTAGAGGGGTGGGATAGGGAGGGTGGGAGGAAGACACAAGAGGGAGGGGATATGGGGATATATGTATACATATAGCTGATTCACTTTCTTATACAGCAGCAACTAACACAACAATGTAAAGCAATGATACTCCAATAAAGATGTTTAAAAAAACCAAAAGTACTGCCTGAAATGCCTCATCAGCACCAGATGCCCATCCTTCAGGAAAGTTGAGGATGGTCCCCAAAACCCCAGAGAGCAGAGGGAACAGGCTACAGACTCCCTGAGACTAGCCTGCACGGAACGGCTGGGGGCCACAGCCAGCATTTGGTACTGAGACCCGAACCACAACTGAGAACTCAGACACCCTCACCTCATGAAGTTGCCTTTGCGTCTTTATTCTACATGCCACATTTGTCCCAAGTCTGTTATGTGGCGTAAGGTGTCTGAAGGTTTTCATTCTACACCCATTTGTAAGCGGGGGATGCCTCTCGGCCTGTGTTGCCACCTGAACAACAACAACCTAATAAGGAATATTGCAGGCAGCCCTTGGTCTGTATTGCATAATGAAAAAGTAATCACAATTGACAACTAAATGAAGAGCCCATGGCTGTTTCCACATTTTCAGTATTGCATACCCTGCAAATATCTGAGCTCTACAATATCGTCCCTGGTCAGAGCTGCTAACATCAGAGCAGCACATGGGACGCAGGCTACCCTCAGGAAATGCCTGGGGGAGAGGGGCCGCAGTAGCATCAGCTAACTGCCATCTCCCAGTTAACGTGCTCTGGACACTTGCTTGACATTTATTACGAGGTGGAGGTGCAGGGGAGGGAAGGTTTTAGAGGTAGAGAAGCCTTTGAACCACCACTCCTAGTCTCTAGATAACCGCTGGAGGCCTTTGTCATTTATAAGTGGAGTCTCCAGGATGTTGTCTGGTCTTTTCCTTTGCCACTCAGGAGAGCCAAGTGACTAAGCTTTCCCCATAGTTCTCACGCCTTCTCCAGATGAGCGATTTTGTGTTAGAGCACAGGGAACACTGTCCACGAATCTGGCAAATTCCCTTTTACTTCTCATTCATTCAACAAATATGTACTGTGCACCTACTCTATGCAAGGCACTGTTCTTGGCACTGGGAACCCAGCAAAAAAGGACACAGACCATGGCCCCTGCCCTCATAGAGCTCACATTCCAGTGGAGGAAATAGACCATAATATATATAATGGAATATTATTCAGCCATACAAAAGAATGAAATATTGCCATTTGCAGCGACATGGATGGACCTAGAGAATATTATACTTAGTGAAGTAAGTCAGACAAAGACAAATATTATATGATATCACTTATATGTGGAATCTAAAAAATAATACAAATGAATCTATATACAAAACGTAAAAAGACTCACACCAGACAGAAAAATTTATGGTTACTAAAGGGGAAAGGGAAGGGGGAGAGGGCTAAATTAGGAGTATGGGATTAAACAAACTGCTATATTAAAAAAATAGATAAGCTACAAGGATTTCCTGCATAGAGCAGGGAATTATATTCAATATCTTGTAAAAACCTATAATGGAAAATAAGCTGGAGATATATATATGTATAACTGAATCACTTTGCTGTACACCTGAAACTAACACAATATTGTAAATCAACTATACTCCAATAAAATAAAAATTCAGTTCCAAATCTGAGATGCTTCTAAATAATCATATGTTTGGGAAAATGAGGAAGGATTTTGGATTTGTATTTAAATTTTCCAAACAATTCTGAAAACTATTAACAGCCTCAGTCTTTGAATAGGACATGTCAAAATTCCAGATTTCGTACGAGTAGGCTAAAACCACCCTTCCCCCCATGATCTCCAGAGGGAGCCTATAGCATCACAAGGTGACATAATTTTGATCTTGATGTATTCTAACACCTAAACCACGATGATGGTTAGGGAAATATACCAGGTCCTACCACGTGATGTGAACCTGGGCTCTCCAGGTGATTTCGCAGCTAAGAGGGTATCCTCATGCTTCTTCATTGCTTGGACATGGTGGTACCCTGGAAGTGCAGATCTCACTAGCACATACAAACCCTAAGCTCCATTATGACCTGGGCAGCTTTGAGAAGTTTTGGTTGGTTTGGTTTGGGAAAACTGAAACTTGCGGATTATCTGTGAGATTTGGACTTCCAGGTTACCGCCATGTCCCAGAACAACATTTTGCACTTTTCTTATTGCCTAAAGTATTCAGTGTAATTGTTCACATTCACTGAGCGCATACTACCCACTCTTAACCACTGCTGAGTCCTCAGGAAGTTATGTACATTTAATCTTGGGGCTAATGGCAGGAGGAGACACAAACAGATCAAAAAAGCACTCGCTGATATTTTTCCTCTTTACACATTACTACTTCCAACCAGCGCCGAGATGAATAATCAGAGATTGGGCTCCCCCAGCCCACCCCCACGCTCACTCCTTTCGCTGGGGCCAGAGGCTGCAGCGGTGGGGTAAATGGGTCTCCCCAAAGCTGGTGCAAACTTGACATTTAGTTTATCGGCAACCTCTTTACCCGTAATTGTAAAGTCTCTCTTGAGAGACTTGCGAGCATGTAGAGATGGTGCTGAAGCAGATCCTAAGGAAAGAATCCGGAGCTCGGCTTTCAGGAATTGCACTAGCCCCGTTTTTAAGCCTTGAAATGGGCCAAGGCGGGGAACACTCACACCACAGAAATTGGCAAATGCTACAGGTCACAGTCTCCATGTCCTTACCCCCAGGCTGGTTGGAAATTTGTCAGGACACTGCTGATAAACCCGTAGAGAATTTGAAGGGCTCTGAGTGCATGAAAGGGGTTCTGAAAGTCTGCTGGGGTAGGGTTTCTGGGGGTACAGGGTCTTGCGGGGTAGGATGCGATGCTGATCACCCCGTTGGGCCACCCGGCTCAGCTCTGCCGCAACCGGAGCTGACACTAATCCACGTATCTCCTCCCAGACCAGAAAAGAAGTCCGACCAGCCCCTGTGTGAGGAGCACGAAGATGAGCGCATCAACATCTACTGTCTGAACTGCGAAGTGCCCACCTGCTCTCTGTGCAAGGTCTTCGGGGCGCACAAGGACTGCCAGGTGGCTCCCCTCACTCACGTGTTCCAGAGGCAGAAGGTAAGAGGCCTTTCCGCCCCTCCTCCGAAGCCCCTTCCGAGTGCGTGCGTCATTGACTCGCTGCCCCCCAAGGAGAGATGCCCAGTGCGCAGGGCCACAGGGCCCTCACGCTGGGCGGTGCGGAGGGTAGAGCCGGAAGGGATGCTGCGCACCCTCCACGCGCTTAATGCCCTGGAGGCTGGTGGGGGAGGTGGGGGAGGGAAGAGATGCAGAGGGTCAGGAAGGGGTCCGGAGGGGAAGGGTCGCTGCGTTTGCGCCCGCTGGAGGTTGTTGAAGATGTGCATTGTTATGGGACTCGGTCCGAGCTCAAGCTGCTCAAACATTATTTGAGGTTCAGACTATAGGTAATAAAAGGATAACTTTTTACTCCACTCAGAACATTTTTCTTCATTCACCAACCAAAGATTCCTTTGGCCTTCCTCAAGGCCTTTTCTCGCGCACTCCTAGTTGGTAGAATTACAATGAATGACATTGCGTTACACGTTCCCTTGGGCTGGCCCTCCCGCCTTGGTTAAACTGGCCTCCTAGCCTTTCAACCTAGGCCAGCACTGAGGGCACCGTCCATGCCCTCACCCCAGGGCCTCAGCCCCCTCATTCTGACCAGATACAGGGTGTCCCAGCTTATCACTCACCTGCCAACCTGGTTTCACCCAGGGCAAGTAGAAGCTTATCCATTTGATGCAAATAAACTGTGGGGTTGCGGCGCTCAGAGAGCTGCAAGCAAGTCTTGGCACCTAGAATTTGAGAAGCTCCACATCTCAGCTTCTTTCTGTAAGAATCAGAGATTCCACATTTGGTCAGTGTTTTACACCAAATACAGTACAGAGTTGGAATTAAATTTGGAAACCAAACTTTGGGCAACACCAGTTGCAACCAGTGAGTACTAACTGCTAAAGAAGCAGGATTTGGCAAGATAGCCATAACATTTATTTATTTTTCAATCCACTTAAGACTTATCCCCCGTTTCCCTTTTACCTGCCCCCCCCCCCCCCC